ACATTTTGAGTTAAAAATATACCTAAAGTATTTCAGGATCCTCGCCGGTGCAACAGAGCCTGTGCACTATGCTGAGCTTCTTCGGACTCACACTTGGGTTACTAAACATGAGCCATGATGCTGATCCGTTGTTCAAAACCTCAAAACCTTACGACTGTAATTTTTACGAAAATCTACGGATATCTTTGCTGGAACTATGTGGTTTTTGCTTTGTGTGATACCCTACGGAGCCTGGTAAATTAAATTTATTACGTTTAGGTTTATTCAACGGATCAACATGGCGACACACGAGTGTAACCCATAAGTGCTCCGTTCTACGTCTAACTCAAGCCTCTCCGAAGAATCTCAGCGTATTGCACAAACTCCGTTGCACCGGCGAGAATCCTGAAATACTTTGGGTAGATTTAAAACTCTACACTGTGCCCTGGCAGCGCCGCTAGGCTACTCTTTTTCGATTTTCAACTGCAAAGTTATTTTTTTCGTGCGCAGCAATACACACGGGCGTCCGGTCTTACTACCCAGAGACTAGGGGCAATTACTACAAGTCCATGAAAAAAAATCCTAGCTTTCACGGGGGTCTGAAACCGGGACCCCCAACACTCGAGCCGGATACCGTACACCGAGACCACTCAGCCCCCTTTTAAATTTATTACGAATATAACAAGTCACAGACCTCAGCGAAACACCATTACAACTCGGGTGTTTACGGACGCAGACAACGAAAAACATGACCCAGAGAGACCTGTCTGTTACAATGATGTTTCAAAAAGCAGACCTCGGAGAAATCTGTTTTCTACAAGGATGCGTCAGGTCATACGTCGGCGAAAACTGCTACATGGATAATTTCAAAACACAGTTCTCGGAGAAACATGTTTGTTAAAGGATATTTCATGACACCGACCTCAGCAAAACGTCGTGGCTGCTACAAGGATGTTTTATAAGGCAGACCTCAGCTAAAAATGTTTGTAACAATGACGTTTTATGATGTTTACAAGAGTGAAACATGTTTGTAACAAGGACGTTTTATGATGTTTACAAGAGTGAAACATGTTTGTAACAAGGACGTTTTATGATGTTTACAAAAGTGAAACATGTTTGTAACAAGGACGTTTTATGATGTTTACAAGAGTGAAACATGTTTGTAACGAAGACGTTTTATGATGTTTACCACAGTGAAAAATGTTTGTAACACGGACGTTTTATGATGTTTACAAGAGTGAAACATGTTTGTAACAAGGACGTTTTATGATGTTTACCACAGTGAAAAATGTTTGTAACAAGGACATTTTATGATGTTTACAACAGTGAAAAATGTTTGTAACACGGACGTTTTATGATGTTTACACCAGTGAAACATGTTTGTTAAAAAATATTTCGTGACACAGACCTTGGCAAAATGTGGCTGCTACAAGAGTGGTTCAGGGCACCCTCCTAAGACAATATTGTTCCTAGAGAGTTGCTTCAGGATGGAGGCCTCTTGAAAATCTAGCTAGCATATGAATCTTTTACAGTGTAGGTCTCAGTGAACGCTCGTTGCTAATGGGGTGTTTCAATACAAGGACTGTTGAAAAGTTGGCTACTTCCAATGACGTTTCAGGACGCTTGAATGGAGCAGTTTATGACATCACTCTACAGCTGTTTCAGCCTTAGTTTCATTGTCAATAGTTCTGGTAAACGAGCACGATCACAACAGCATGTCGATAGCTCCATACATCCTCATGGCACACCGACGGGCTGACAAATCTGAGTTAGTCATTATGGCCTGTGTAATTAGGTTTCACACAAACAGACACCCACACCCTAAGAAAGCGTGTGTGTGTGCGAGCGAGAGAGAGAGAGAGTGCGTGTGTGTGTGTGTGACTGAGTGCGTGTGTTTTTGAGTAATAAAACTACATAATATATGCAGTAGGTTTTGAAAACACGCGGCACAGACAGACAAACTAAGACAGACAGAGAGAGAGAGAGAGAGAGAGAGAGAGAGAGAGAGAGAGAGAGAGAGAGAGAGAGAGAGAGAGAGAGAGAGAGAGAGAGAGAGAGCGCTCCTAAGTAATAATATCAATAATGGATTACTCTGGCAGTACATTAAAGCGACAGCTCACGACAAACTGAAACATATTAGCACTTTCATATCTGACAGCGGCAACAAAGACAACGAATGCTCCATGTTTTTTTCCCCGAGACTATAAATAAGTTACCCCCCCCCCCCCCCCCCCTTTTTTTTTTTTTACAATTAGACCGGCCAATGTTAACAGATTGACATCTTCTCAATATCATCCATCAAAGACCCCATTTGGAAGGCAGATAATCAACGTCGACGCAAAGACACGGAGCAGCATGAAATACTGGGTCTGATCCTTATCTCATGGAAATGTGGCAGGTGTTTGTGTTGGAGATTTTCTAGTAAATTTATTGGTTCATGGCATCTGTTTGGCTTCAGATTCACAACCAGCAGCCCGGCATCTTGACTGAGGAGGGTAGACGAAGAGCCATGTTTGTGTTCAAATGAGGATGTAGGGATTTATGGTGCAGAGATTGTGGTCAGTGGAGTAGGTCGTCGTGCTTGTCAAATATTTATGTTAGCTGCTAGTTTTTGACCTTTCGTGGGTTGTTGATATCTTTGACAATTTGACCCCTGAATCCTCACATGTTTCTTACTTTCGGCTCATGTGGGTTTGTTCATCCATCCCACATGCATCTTGGGGGTGTCTGTAGCAAAGTGCTCGCGCCGCTTGTCTCGCGCTCTCAAGGCCGTAGGTTCGTTTCAAGGCGCCGCCGTTCAGTTCATAAGGCCAATTTTTACTGAGATCCACTAGGATCTCGCCGGAGCTACGGGAGTCGTGCTCTGTGCGACACTCTCAGAAGGCAACTAGCGCTGTTCTGTGAGGAGAGAGTGAGCCACAAGGGATAAAACACGGTGCAATGAAGTCGCCCCCTCTCACTTTTGACTTTACCTTTCCCACATCTATCTTACTTTCACTACGTGCATCTCTCACTTTCATGAAACAGGTATCTTTACCCTCACCCAAAGCGTTTTCGTAGATGCATCTGGTTAGACTGTGGAACAAATGATATACAGTAGCACTGGAAATCAGTTTGTGGTTGTCGATGTCCAGACACGGAGATACGGACCCTATAATTATCGTTAACAATAAGGTCCCGTGCTTTCTGTGATGTCTAGCGTTGATCGGGTGGTCTTAAATTATGGACTCATCGAGATAGCATCAGATCCATTGATAAGAAAGCATCCTCTGGATGTGATGTAATGTTTCCGAGCTCGTTCAGAAATTAAAGGACATAGCCTGGCAGTCTATACGGGACTGCAGCCAATACAAATATAAGTCAAAAGTCGTTACAGGTCGTAGCAGAGCTGGGTTCCATATTGGAAAATCGATTAATTTGCAGCTTAGGTAGGCGCTCTAAACTAATGTTCAACATTCCTTTATCAACAGTGTCTAGTTTGCCTTATTTTAATTGTTCTTATTATTTATTTAAATTATGTATTTTACCCTTTTCTTCGCTCATGTTCTGCTTCGTTTCTCAACATGCCTGCCTTAAACCACTTTTTTCGAAATCTCCGCCATCTTCACCAAAACTCAATCCGTAAAAAAAAAAAAGAAGTAAAACCTGGTTAATTCGACTTCTAAGTGACCGACAATCGAATTTGTGTTAAATTTATGCTAATTAAAGACTAAAAACAATAGTACATACAATCAACTGGTGTCAGTGGCGAAGTGGTCAAGGTGCTTGCCTCGCTCCCTGAAGGTCGTGGGTTCGTTTCACGGCTTCGCCGTTTCGTCATACGAGTCTAATTTTTATAGAAATCCCTAGGATGGTCGCGCCATTGTGTTATAATTCCAAGGGTGTGGTATTTACGTACACCGAAGCATAGCTACCAACCCAAACCGACCACACTATCACAAATGATGGATAGAATCCTTGTGAGGCTCCACCTAACATTTCACACACATCTCCATGACATGATTACCACATTCTTATTGAAGGAAGACAACTATAAGACCACTATGGTCACGCGCAGAATATGTTCACATTTCGGGTCTATCCAAACCATTAAATAGTTTTCAGTACTTTTCGGGGAAGTAAAATACTCCAGAATTTTAAAACTATAAATGATGGCGGTCTGACATGGAGGAAAGAAGCATTAAGCCCAGAGACGGCGCAAATATCATAACTTTAGCCACGATAGTGGCGAAAATAAATAAGACCACAAATATAGCCGGGGACTGTTGGCAGCTTCGACTAGCTATCAGCAGGTAGAACGTGGTTAAGTTTTTATCTTAAAAGGAATTTAAATTGTAAATTAACTGACTTCTTGTTTCAGTGACTGAAACTATTTGAAACATCACATTTGCACGTCTCTGGTTTAGTGTGTGAACACACGCGTGAGCATAAAAATAATAACAATTTTCGTCCCCCCCCCCCCGTTTCTTTCGGTCCCAAATATCTCCTTAAGCTCCGGACACACAACAGCAAACGGAAACACTTCTTCTTCTTCTTCCATCCCCCACCTCCCCCGGATCATAGACCTTTAACCAACTCGCACCAAGTCATCACACAGTCTACTTACTATTGAGTGCAGCTCACCAGTAACTTTTGTTTTCAGAGACACAGCCTAATTCTCGGTGTAATACTTGTGCTGTTTGTAGCTTCTCAATCATATCCCTTTCATTACATAATCAGTTTACACCATTCTTTGTTTTATTTCTTTTTTAAGGTTTTCAACAAAGATGGAGAAAACAAAACATGAGCTAATCGACGCAGATGTCCTCATTACTGAAGAGAATCTACAATGAATTAACCTGAGATCTGCAAGTAATAAAAACACATAAAGAAAATGTCTTTGATACTGCTGCAATAGTGATTTCACCTTCACCATGTCAGCTTTCTGTCAACCTACTTGACGTACCATCCACTTAATATTAAATCCAGCCAAACAGTATAGTCCAATGAATCTTCAAGTATCGCCGAACTTCGGTGACACCATGTCGGTGCTGGAGCTAACACAGCCGCTAAACTCACACGACAAGAACGTATCCCCGTATGACACCAACACCAACCTGACAACGGACCCCACACCTTGCCAAGGCATCAAATGCTACCCCGATGTGGTCTTCCACACTGCCACGGGCATCACCGTCGTCCTGACGGTCTTCGGTACAGTCGGCAACATCCTCACCGTTCTGGCCATTCTCACCAGCCGTCTGCGAAACAACATCAACAGCATCCTCATCTGCAACCTAAGCATTGCTGATGTCATCTACTGTTTTACTGTGCTGCCCCTGCAGGCTTTGGCTTTCTATAACCGAGACTGGATCTTTCATGACACACTGTGTGAGCTACAGGGTGCTCTTCGCATCTGGCTCATTGGCGTCAACATGCTTTTACTCAGCGGTATCGCCTTTTACAGGTTCGTAAAGTGTGTATGAGTCTAACACAACATGATACTTCTTGTTATTCTTCTTTTTCTTAATCTTCTTCTAAGCGCTTTCCGACGGAAAGCGCTGCTTGTGCTCCCACTTGTGGACTTTACTCTTGTTCCAGAAACTTTATTTTGCATGCAAATCCGTTTTACATAACAGGCCTACCTGTATGCAGACTCTTAGTTCCTCGTCGCCCAGGTCGATGCGCTCCGATTTCGGAGGAAAAATCCCAGATTAGTCGTCTTTTATGACATGGTTGTTGGGGAGGCAATGGATCTATTTCTTTTTTTTCCATGGAAAGGGGCACAGCAACCCACACGGGGAATAACGATAAATTAAAGCATGTTTTTCACATGACATTTTCTGGCACTCTTTATTTGCTTGGGTCGACTTGGGTGCTTAGATCAAAGATAAGCATCCGCCTAGAATCAGATTCCATCTTCTTTCTGGTAGGCAACTGTCTAGCCACTGCTTTACCACGGCTCCCATACAAACAACACACATATACAAGCTATTGCAACCTGATACAGTCCTTGTACACCACGAGACTGCAACAGGATACAGTCCTTGCCCACCACGAGACTGCAACAGGATACAGTCCTTGCCCACCACGAGACTGCAACAGGATACAGTCCTTGCCCACCATGAGACTGCAACAGGATACAGTCCTTGCCCACCACGAGACTGCAACAGGATACAGTCCTTGTACACCACGAGACTGCAACAGGATACAGTCCTTGTACACCACGAGACTGGGTGCAGCTACTACAGGAGTCCCAAACATAACTTACATCAAGGTTAAACAAAGCATCTGACATTTGCCCTTTTGGCTTTTCATTCAAAGAGATTTGTGTTGTTGTCTGGAGCGGGGGGGGGGGGGGGGGGGGGGGGGGGGGGGGGAGAGAAGAAACAAAATCTCCCCAGGGTTGTCAAACATCCAGGACTGGTCCGGGCGAAGCAGCGCGGAAGTAAGGATATCTGGTAGACATAACAACACAATTTCTATTTACCCTATTATTAACATTCACTAGTATATGCTTATTATTTCTTAAGTTACTGAAATATTTCGGTTAAATGAAATTCCACACTGGCTGGGAAAGAATTCAAATAGATTGTATCGCCCCATGAACGACAAGCAGGAATCTATGACGTCGGCGGACTCAGTCTACCAAGGACGCTCTGGTAGTGAAAGTTCTTTTTTCGTGGTGATGTTGACAGACGGGAAGATGTTTCATGATGCACTCTTTATCTTGTGTAAATATTCCAATTATTAAGAACTGTATCGTTCTGCAGAGTTGACCACCTGTTTTCAAGTTTGTGTGTGTGTTTGTGTTGTTGTTGTTGTTGTTAATAAGTCGCGTTAATAACTGCTTAGTGGATTAATGATACACTAATGATTTATTTACAGGTTTCTCCACGTGGTACATCCCCAAAGTCAGTCACGCTATTCAAAGACGGGCTGGTTCGTTTCTGTCTGCATCGTGTGCTGGGCATTGCCGTTTGTTGTCTGCATATGCCCAGTCGCTGGTTGGTGGGGATCCGTTCACTTCGAAGAAAGGATCCTCCAATGCACATTCGACTCCACCACAGACAAAGCCTACAAAATCACAACTATTACCACCGGCTATTTCGTTCCGTGTACTTTCATCTGCGTCTGCTACGCCCGCATCGGCTGTGTCGTCTTTGGCTCCAGACAGAAGACTTCACGAGGAAGCTTGTACCGGAAACAGAAAGCCCGCCGCGAGTCTTTCAGGCTCACGGGCATGATGGCGTTGATCTTCTTCGGGTTCTTGGTCGGCACCACGCCGTTCTTCATTATCAACACAGTTGACTCCAAACTGCGATACCCGATGCCACATATCTGGGCACCGTTTCTATCTTGGACAATGTACGGACTAAACCCTATCATTTACACTGTCATGGACACGAATTTTCAGCGAGCTTACCACAGACTTCTGCTGTGTAAGATCTTTAAACAGGACACTACAAATGAGGTCAGCATTCAGGACAGAAAAAGCTCAGTAATATCAGCAAAGAACGGTAAAAGCAATCCTTGAACATGAAGACAAGCTAGAAGTCTTATCAAATAGATTCCTGCAACTTTCGAAAGCCGATAAAATGGAAAGGTATAGGAAAAATCTGACTGAAAATATGCCGAAAATAACGGTGACAGCAGTCGAGCTGACCTAAACAAGTGACTTACCCCACACACACCATGACTAAAAAAAGGAAAGGGGACGACGAGCAAAAATACAATGCAACGTTTAGACCATAGTCTTTAACAAAAGTTATTACACATCAATAACAAACTACTGGAAAGGTCACACACATTGGAAAAGTATCAAAAGCAGGACAAAAAGATTACTTGAGAAGTCAGATTGTCCACTTTATGTGAACTTTCACAGGCATCTGTTGTTTTATTTTCATTCCTGGCTTATTCCTTGGCAAAGAACTGGATCATAAGTCTCCTATCCCTAAAGCTAAGGTATTTTTGCCATGTTCACCTCAAGCTGGCGAGAAAGGAGTTGGAGGGTACAGTTTCCGCAAAACGAGGCAGAGGTACACCTCAGCGTACGTGGATAGAAGACCCTGAAGATACTTTGTCTCTGAAAGCACAGACGGCTGGAGAAATGAATTGAGAAAGATAGACTTTCAGGCGTGGCGTGACGACAGCAAGGTTCTGTGAGCACCTGCTCACTGATGGATGATTCCTGGACAAATAGCTTGGTCTAAAAATTTGACTATGTGTGCGAGGCTTTTCCTTTGCCATTCCTTGTGTTGGGCTTCAATGTGATAGTTTGTGTTGTGATTAGCTGCTAAAGCACGTATGCTATGTCATAACTAATAGTATAAAAACGCCAGTGATAGGTAATAAATGGACAGGGAGAAAACAGCTGAGCGCACTCTTACAATTGCTCCGCAAAGAAGATTGTTTATACGGATCGCAAGCTTTCTGAATATCATTATAATAGGCCATATTGGGACTGATTATATAGATTGCAAGCTATTTGGATAACATCGTTATAGGCCAGGCTGGAATCAACAACATACGATCACATTTGTAAAGAATGTCAACTATGTTGTTCATACGTAAGACAGATGATCATCTTTCATCCCAAACTGCTGCCAAATCATCTTTTGTTTGTTCCCTCTTCATTTCAATGTCCCCGATTTGTGCAATGTTGTGCATACATTGTTTTCCTGATAACTGTAATAAATAGACCGGGTAATACTCGATGTAGCTTTTCAACAGATTTTAGGCGGTATTCAGGATTTAAAACTTGTGATGCAACAACTGAAGATGCAGCTAGGTCGAGATGTTGTGCCCAACACAAGCATATTGACCGTCAACAGACAAAGAATTTGGTACAAATCGATTAGTTTTTTCCTCATGCATTAGTCAAGCGTAAATAGTAAAGGGGCCCTTCTTCACGCCATTAGGCGTATTTGATATTACAGTAGAGTTGAGGACACTTTTCTACGCCTTTAGGTGTATTGGGCATATAGGGCTAGACCTATTTTTTATTACTTATGGGCACTTGGTGAGTGATATGTCAGCATTTCGCCGGTCGCCTTTACCTCCTACGTAGCATCTAGGGCTGGTCCCCCTGGAAGCCATTTGATTTCTGAAGGGGCAAAAAAATCAGGCTCCCGTACGGATTTGAACCCATGACCCTGGGATACAACAGCGAGGGTATAGCTGCTTCACAATAGCGTCTTTCTTGTGCATTAGTCTAATTTTCGGGCGATGTTGAGGTGTGTGCTTTCGCACGCACGCACGCGTATATATATATATATATATATATATATATATATATATATATATATATATATATATATATATATATATATGCATGCGTATGTACAATATATTTCTGCAGATTAGTGTTCTGGCTTGTTGTGTGTGTGTGTCTGTGTGTGCGCGCGCGTGCGTGCGTGTGGTTAATCCAAGTAAGCAGACAGTTACTGCCTGAGATTTAAACACAAATTAATGCCATTCGGACACAACAAGCCCCCAATACATTGACAAATAACAGATAATGCGCACCAGAGGGACTGACTTCATCTTGTTGAACTAATGGATTCTTGCAAAACAACAATAAATGCGCATTAGTTCCAATTTTCACATTAACTGGGTGGGCATTAAAGCATACAAGACGACAGATTATGTGAATTAGAAGAGAATTAAATAGTTTTAGGAGACTCAATATAGTAGAGGCTTTCGATCATTGTACTTGTAACTGTCGTTATGTTTATAAAAATCGAAAAAAAAGATGAAGAACATCTCTCTCTCTCTCTCTCTCTCTCTCTCTCTCTCTCTCTCTCTCTCTCTCTCTCTCTCTCTCTCTCTCTCTCTCTCTGTCTATTCACCCATCTATCTATCCACCCACCCATCTATCTATCCACCCACCCATCTACCTATTTATCTAGTTTTCTATCCATCTATCAATCAATCTATTTATCTATTTTTCTATCCATTTGTCTGTCTGTTTGTCTGTCTACCTACCTATCTATCGATCGATCTATCTATCCTCTCGCTCTGATTTATAAACTGAGTAACCCCACAACACTCCGGGACACGTACACGGGGTCCAAAGCACTGCTCTTCGTAATGGAATATACTGACTGAGAAAGAATGAAATGGTTCCACCATCTAGTGAGAATGCAGCCAGACTAGACCGCATCTACAACTTTATGCTGTAAAACATCTGGGAGTAAGGCAAGAGGAAGTCCAAGAAAGATATGGATAAATGGTGTAGCTGAAACCTGAAAAAAAAAAAAAAAGATTAACAAAACCCATAATTCAAGCCACTCAAGAAGGCAGGACAAACACAGAAAACCACCTGGCATCAGTGAGACGACAACAGAAGATCTTCGTAAACCACTGATGTGATTAAAATCATCACCACCACCATTGTTCTATGCTATGATATACGACTGATTTCGGATACTTAGGCGAGTGTCTAGCTGCTACATCACCGTGGCTCCCTGTCGACGTCAGCAGAGTTTCGGTTTAAAAAGGATCTTATTATAAACCGAATACACCTCAGGGCGTGAAACGAAAGGGGGGAGGTGGGGGGGGGTGTGGCTATGTTTACTTATCATTTCCACATGTTCAACATTAATTGTTATATTTATAGGCATATTATGATACATGTAAAAAAACAGCGTTTTAATGCTTCTCGCAGCTTTTATTTTCATAATGTATATATTTCCAAAATATGTTGCTACTTTGTGTGTTATTCTTGTACATTGCTTGACTGTACCAGAGTTCAAACATCTAACGATGAAATGTTGCAAGTGTGCTGTACAGATGTTGTTATGTACCTCATGTTCTACAGCTTTCAGTGTCCATGTGTCCGGCACCAACCGATATCACATAGAAAACAAAAGATACAGCGTGTTGAGTGTTCAGCCATGTTTCAACTCTTCGTGATAAACTTCCAAAGGCTGTTGATGTGTGCATCATGTCTCACAACAAACTGTGTTATTATTAAAAACAGCTGCATAGTTGAAATGATGTTATAGTATCGGTTTATTTTATGTTTATGTGGTTAAGTGCTTTGTACGTGTGCTTGGATCTCCCCCCCCCCCCCTTTCCACCCCCCTTTCCAAACTCTTTAAATACCAAAACAAGAATCGATGTGTGACTATCAGAGTCAACCTGAAAACATCTTATGTGTGTTTCTGTTTATTACAAACAACCCCTAAATATCTGTTTGTAAGTTTCTGTTTATCACAGTTAACTTCAGAAGATTTCATGTATGTTTCTGTTTCTTTAGTCTAGTCAGAGCAACACATTTTTCTCCGATATTTTGTTGCACACTGAGTGCCTGGGGCTGTAGTTTACCTATAGTTGTGTTCTTAACGTCACAACGAGGCATCGGATATGATTTGGACCTGAAAGAGTGAATACATTTGCGCATCACATAATGCTTTAGTATCGTCATTAAACACGGCGTCGACCACAGACGCTTCTTATGCGATTAACTGCGTGTGCAATTTCTGATCTGTTGTAGCTGCTGTTTCCATCAACCATGAAAAGCATTTCTAGTGTCGGAATTTTTCTACTGGCACTTCTGACAATGGGCGTGTACCCTGTTCTATTTGCTCAGCTGGAGAGTTCACTGGATTATTGTCTTGCTATGAAGTTGCAACTGCAATTAGCTGATAAAATCAAAGATCTTTGGGTCGGCTGGCGGGCTGCCACACCGCGGCTCTCAGAATCATAATTACTCCCAGCGTAATAAAAACATCTCTAAACATCATTCCATGAGGCGTTGCGCACAAACAATGACGGTTTTGTGTGAACGTCTTATTTCTATCCTGCCATTTGACAAGTGATGGGTCACTGTGATTATTCCTGATGTTTTTCCCCTTTGATGCATTATCAAATTAGAAATTGTTAACAGACGAATGACAATTTACATGGCATATCAGTAGTGGATATAAAAAAATGGATACATAAAACATAACAAAGATCAGATAAAAAGCGTGATAAAGGTGTCCTGAAAGACATTAACTCATAAAGAAGACTGATTAGAAGCGTCAGGAGGAGGCAATTCATATCATGTGGGCACGTCAGGAGAAAGTAAAAAGTGAAGTACATCATAACATGCACGCGAAGAAAGGTAGTGGCGAGATAAAGAAAAAATCTGTGAGACAGTTTTTACATTGATTAAAGCAAGAAGGAATATCTGCGTCAAAAAAAAAATTGTCAGTGCACCAGACAGCAGGTCTAGTTGCAGAAATGATGAACAACAGGACATGTCATGGATTATAAAAAGATCGACAGCAGATGTGGGATGGAGGAAATAATGGTTACAAAAAAATACAGAGAAACACGTAAAGAATTGTAACTCAAATGAACGCAGAGCAAGGAAAATGTCTTGCATACAATGGACTGACGGCATCAGCAGCAACCTAACAGAAATGAAGATAAATGTATACAGCAAAACAGAAACAGTACACACATGATCCCCTCTACGCCACACTCGCTTCTTCTTTTCTTTATAAATAAACATAATAATATTAATAATAATATTAAAAGTAATAA